AGCTGAAATCGAATCTAACAGGGAAAGAATTATTAAATTAAAAAGGAATGCTGGATATGCTCAAAAATGCAAAGAAAAAAAAAGAAAAATACTTTACGAAAATCAGGAGGTAATACTATATGATAAACCTGGTCGTCCTCCACTTCTTTTTGAACATCCGAATTTGCATGATCATATCCATGATTCGATCGAGTTTGGAGAAGCTGACAAAAAACGAAGAAAAGAAGTGGTTAAAGTGCGAACTATCAAAAATTTGCGCAAAAACCTTGAAGAAAATTATGATGTTTATATGTCGAGAACAACATTAAAAAATTACCTACTACCTCACCAATCCAACTCCATTGCCGCAAGAGCACATCATCATCCAGCGTGGGTTGCAGTAGCTGGAGTTTCATGTACTGAAACTCGTGATCATCCTGATGGCCATTACTGCCTTGCATCTGTTAAATACGCAAGGCAATTTGCCACCGTCTTTGCTGATAATTCCGTTGTTATTTCCCAAGATGACAAGGCAAAGATAGGTCTTGGGGTACCTGCTGTTGGTCAGACATTTCATACTTTGCAATCAGTTCACGAGCCTGTAAGTGTAGCCGACCATGATTTTCCTCTAGGAAATGGGCAAAAGTTAGTTCCATCGGTATATCTTATGATCAAACCAAATGAATTAAATGATGAGTTACGTACAGGACAACTTGCCATCCATGTACGTCGTCAATGATCCCTTGGTACGTCTTCACTTACACACATGCAAGACCTTGAAAGCCTTGTCCTGGATCCTCAATATAATGATGTATTAAAAACCAACGGAGAAATTCGACCTGTCTGGGTGTTACTGGTAGATGGAGGACCAGACGAAAATCCGAGACATCTAAAGAATATTAAAACATACTGTCAGCTTTTTCAAAAGTTTGATTTAGATTATCTGACAGTTCGAACACATGCCCTAGGACAATCCAAGTATAATCCTGTCGAAAGAGGCATGGCAACATTATCTGAAAAATTGGCAGGTATCACACTACCAATTGATCACTTTGGATCGCACCTAAATACACAAGGTAAAGTGATCGATCCAGAATTGGCCCTTCAAAATTTTCGGTATGCTGGAGAATCACTTTGTGATATTTGGAGTCAAGATTTGATATTTGGAAAAAGTGTAGATGCACGGTATGTTGAAGAGCTCGCTAATTTATTTGAAAATTTAGAATTTGAAGGTACTGACAAAGAAAAAATGGAAGAACGAAACCAGCAAAAAAAAAACAGGACAAAGGTGATGACTCACCAGAATATTTTGTGCCATGGTCATGGATCGAAAATCATTGCAACTTGTGTCAATATTCTCTTGATATTAAACGTTGCGCGAATACAAGTTGTTGTGGACCGTCTCGTGCAAAAGAAGCTATGGATTTTCTTCTTTTGAATAATGGTTTTTTACCTCCAGTTACAAAGGTAGAGACGGACATTTCACAAGTGCTATACATCTCCTTGAGTATTATGACCACCTGAAAATTCCTGGGTATGATTCACATTGCCCGTCCTTTGACTAAACAACCTATTCGCGTCTTTGTTGCTCTGTGTGCGGCAAGTACTTTCCAACTCTTACTTTTATGACAAACCATAAAAGAACAATGCACCCTGCTAGCCGTGGACGACCTAAAGGAAAATCTAAAGAACAAAATTCCAGAGTCCTTGACGATTTCTCTCTTCTTCCATCACAGCAAAAGCAACCTCTCTTTGACGAAACATATTTAAGGGATTGCATTTCGGATAGAGATTGAGATAATCGTATATGCATATATGCTATATTAATCGTATATGCTATATTAATTATATATGATGTACTGTATAAATAAATAAATAAAGTATAAATATAAGCCACTTATATCATGTGATCAATATTAATATGTGTAACCTAAGATCCCCTGCTACCCCCCCACCCCCTAAAATATTAGGTAATGTTCTGATTTAAAAAATTTGAAAAAAAAATATTATTACGAAACGTTAAAAAACGTTTCGTAAAAAAATAAAATATAAAAAAAATTGGAACGTTAGCTAACGTTCCGATTAAAAAAATGTGAAAAAAAAATCATATTATGAAACGTTAAAAAACGTTTTGTAAAAAAATAAAATATAAAAAAAATTGGAACGTTAGCTAACGTTCCAATTAAAAAAAATTAAAAAAAAAGTTTCGAAACGTTAAAAAATGTTTCGTAAATAAAAAAATGAAATAAAATAAAAAATCGGAACGTTAGCTAACATTCTGATTAAAAAAGTTAAAAAAAGAAATGCTTTGAAACGTTAAAAAATGTTTCGTTAAAGAATGAAAAAACAAAAAAAATTGGAACGTTAGCTAACGTTCCGATTAAAAAAATATGAAATAAAAATGTATTTTGAAACATTTTTTAACGTTTTGCTAAAAAATGAAATAAAAAAAAAATTGGAACGTTAGCCAACGTTCCGATTAAAACAATATGAAAAAAAATTATTTTCGAAACGTTTTTTGACGTTTCGTTAAAGAATGTGAAATGGAAAGTGAAAGGGGAAAGTAAAGGGAAAGTAAAGGGGAAAATGGGATGAAAGGGTAATGGAAAAATGAAAGGAAAGGAGAGAACGAAAGGGAAAGTTAATCTATTTTTTATATTTCATCTTTTTTCCGTAAAAGGTCTGGAATTAATAACCTTTTATTACGGAATTTATCATTTTCCGTGAATGGATCTGTGAAAGGCTTATTTTTACGGGGTTTTACAGAAATAACAGATAGAACTTTTTATAGGGATGAAGGGGAGAGCGAAAGGATAATGAGAAAATGAAAGGAAGGGGAGAAGAAAGGGGAGAACGAAAGAGTAATGGGAAAACAAAAGGGAAGGGGAGAACGAAGAGGAAAAAGCAAAAAAAATTAAGCTTTGCCAAAAAAAGCTTAATTTTTTTTTTTTGCTATACCGCAGCCGCAGCACTGCTGCAGCGGTAATTATTAAGTCTAGTATCACGTGATACACATGATAAGAGTACATTACGCAATTGCTGAAATAATTTTTTTTTTAAATATTAAGTTTAATATATATAAATATATACTTAAATTAAATAGTGCAGTGGTTAGATCGTGAAATAATTAATAGTGTAAGTTGAAATATTTGGTTCGATTCCTAAGGTGAGTAAAAATAAATATAATTTAATTTAATTAAAATAGTATAGTATGTGTTAATATACAGTGCGTTGAACAACAATGCATAATGTGTTGAACTACAGATTAGAGTTGAATGACGCGTATATTAACATTAAGCGTTGATATACTCTAGTATACAGGTGTTGATTAATATTATTAATCACGTTGAACAACTAGCTGGTGTTGATCAACGCGTATACTGGTGTGAATCAATACTTTTCAAACTTGCTGATGTAATGTATTGAATAATTTATATAATTTTCTAGCTCTAAAGATTTTTTGGTACAAATTCACATCTGTTATATCAGGTAAAAGCTGTTTGATTTCTTGATATACCATAGATGTTGCAGTTTTTTTTTTAACTCCATCAGCAACAAAGTTATCAATCATTTTGTCATATTTTTCTATAAAATAGCACCAGTATAAAATTGCTTCTTGACCAACCTTAATGGCTTTTCTAAACATGCAAGCTATATTTTGTGCAGTATCTGATAAGCTAGAGTCCTGTTTTAAAATTTGATCTGATGAAAAAGCGTGCACAGGTGACGATAACTGTTGCTTTAACTCCTATTCCACAATTATATTTTTATCCAACTTGGCAATTACTTCATCATGCTGATCAGGTTTAAGTTTCTCCATGTCACATGACTTTGATCATGAAGAATTTTCACAGTTTTCAAGATTACATGCTAATTTGGATGCATTAACTTGCGGTTGCTTTGATAAGATGCAAGATGCTGATCTTATGTTTTCAGAACTAGCCTTATAAGATTGTGATAAGTCGTGCTCATCTTACTCTGAAGTTAACATGTCTGTGACCTCAGAAATTTTAGTCACATCCTGAGAAATTATCACAGGTCGAAAAGTGAAAAATCAGGCACCAATCGGTCACCAATCAGGTAGCTGATTGGTGCCTGATTGGTGACCGATTGGTGCCTGATTGGCATTTTCGCCAAATACCGTCACCAATCAGGCAGTTTGCTAACTTTTGATCCAGTGATCAGAAAAAGATGAAATATAGCTCATTGGAATCGTCTCAACATGACGAATCTAATGGTAGTAAAATCTCATTTCTAGGATTAATACTTGATGAGAAATTAAGTAAAATATAAAAATAAAAATGTATTATTTATATTTTATTTAATTTTTTATTAACTATTAATCCTAGAGATGCGATTTTACTACCATTAGATTCGTCTTGTTAAGACGATTCCAATGAGCTATGTTTCATTCTTTTCTGATCACTGGATCAAAAGTTAGCAAACTGCCTGATTGGTGACGGTATTTGGCGAAAATGCCAATCAGTCACCAATCGGTCACCAATCAGGTACCTGATTGGTGACCGATTGGTGACTGATTGATGCCTGATTTTTCACTTTTCGACCTGTGTATGAATGCCTCTTGATCTCTCTGTTTCTTTTCCAGTTTCCTCTCTCTAATCTCATTGCTAATGCTTTTCTTATACGTCTCATCCAAGAAATCGACCATTTTCTTATCGTTACCATCAAGGTCACTACTCACTAGGTGCTTGTCCTACTTCATTATTGAGTTTGTCTATTACAAAATCAGGTACATCAACAGTTGGTACCATCACCACTGGCATCGCTTCTTCACCGTTTTGTGTCTAACCAAATAACAACGCCATACCATCTACTGCTGAACTCTATGATTCTAATAATGCAAGTCTAGCCTTAAGCTCTCTGACTCTAGACTTGAGTTCAGCATTCTCAGAATCATGCCTTGCATTCTCTTCAATAATTTGCTTCAGCTTCGCATTCTCAGCCTTAACCTCAGCAAATCTTAGTAATTTCTCTGAGTTCAGGAATCTTATCATTTTCTTTCCTAAGTTTGGCAATCTCAGTTAAGAGCTTGGCATTTAATTCTCTCAATGAATCAGTGGATTGCATGTTCGATGATAATTTTTTATATGAGATGGAATAATTCAAAAGTTTGTTAGCATAGATAAAAAACTGTGACAAAATATCACGATCAGAATTACTGATTTATTGATGTAAAAAAATAAATTACAAGATTTGAAAATACATAAACGTTTTACAAAGTAAAGTAGAGTCTCTATACTAATGCTTGCTGGCGTTTCATTCATCTAAAGTATCTATACTAATAACATAATATCCCAACATTAATTCTAATCCAATTTCATTTACTTAACGTCAATATTCTGGATAGAATAAAAGGGTCAATTATGCATAGAATATGTGCGGAGTCAGAAATAAATTAGCAATATTAAAACTTACCAAAAGTTTATGTTCTCTACCTAATAAGGTCCTCGAAAGTTCTGAACAAAAAAAATAGATATTGGCTTTGCAAGCTCTGAGTCGCTTCTTTGTAAATGCACAGTCATAACTGAAATATTCATATCTTATATTGTGTAGTCTTAGTTTCACCGATCAGGAATTATTTTGATTGGCACTCTCATGTGACATTGTGACATGTGGCTAATTTTTGATTGATAAATTTTTTTCGTAATTTTGTATTTGATCCTTGACACATCGCTAACTCAGTTCGTAGTAATTACTGACTCACAGTTTGTAGTAATTAGTCAACAGCCATATATGGATATATATATATATATAACATATAATCAAAATGTCAAGCTACTCTTCGCTATTTTGAGTACTTTCGCTATTCCGGATATAAACTAATTTTGAGGAAAATTCCCTACCTGCTAGATTTAACGCTGTATCAATAAGGTCTTTTACTTGTGTTATACTGAAAAATTACTTGTTTGACCCTTATTTTTAACTCTCAATTTTTGCAATTGCAGATATAGTGAAATCATGGTATTTTGTATCATTCTAGGTGATAACACTGAAACTGCTTTTCCGGTTAAACTTCCTAGTGACAAGAAAGTTGGGGAACTCAGGGAATTAATCACTAAAATAAATCCAATAAGTTTTGCCAATATTGACGCAAAAGACTTAATCCTATGGCAAGTTAGTATTTCTGACGAAGATGTCAAAAAAATGAAAATTCTTAATACCAAGCCTCCTTCTGATATTAACATTGAAGAACTTGAGGGTAAGGTTATGTTCTCTAGAAAAGAAATTAAATTTTACTTCTCTGAAGATCCAGTCGATGAACATATCCACATAATAATCATCCGGCCACAACTACCCGCCACCACTGGTAAGTATCTTCCAACGTTTTACCTCTTGAACAAGAATTTTGCAGTAACAAAATATCGATTTAGTCTGATCTCTTTTTTTCGCGTTAAAGTAGGTCCCTATCAAGGCATTCCACGAGGTACAGTATCTCTAGTTAAATTTCCTGTGTTGTCTTAGTCTTTGTATTCTGGCCCGCCATTATTAATACATATAGGTTACTTGCACCATATCTATTTGTTAATACACTGTGCTTTCTTATTGTTTACAAAACATAGTGACGTCAATTGAAGATGCCATGAAAAAGATTTTGAAGGGAATTCATAAACAAATGAACGTAGACAATGTAGACAATAATAAGTCCAAGTCTATGGCTCTAAAACAACGTGACCTTAAGCAAGCTATTGATGTGATTGACAGGAATTTTTGTAATTCCTTAGATAAACAAGAAACTATAAAAAAAGAAACTTCCATAGCAAAGACAAACTATCGAATCCTTTTATGCGGTGGAGCACCTGGTATAGGTAACTTTCATACATTTTCTTGTATGTTTTTACAGCAGATAAAGCAGTTTTAGCCTTCTAATTAACAAATTTAAACTATAATTCACTAGGAAAGACGCGTTATGGAGTTGAATTGTTTAATTGTCTTGACAAAGAATGGAAAATATCAAAAGGCCAAAAGCCTTACATGCTTTACATGCTTCTTGATTTCTCTAATAGCTATGCTTTAGATGAATATGAAATCCAAGAAGATATGAAAATTGCATCAGAAATCATTCTTGGATTGCGGTTGGCATACTACTTTTTTGTCAAAAAAAAATATGTGATGAGTTTTGCAATGTTTAGTACAAAAGCCAATGAATATAAACATATTTTCAAGTTAGATAATGTACTCGCGCACATCTACAGCCATGAACACAAAAGACTTCAACCTGGCCAGCATCTTTTCATTTTTCTCCAAATTGATGAATTTCAGCTTATTTTTAAAGATCGAAAGGAAAGAGCTGAATTATTTAAACAGTTAATGTATGTTCTTGGGCATCACATGACCAGAAAAATTCCAAACATATTCATACAGACTCTACTATCAGGTACAGCACCACAGGACGCAATACGAGCAATGGAACCTTCAATGTATTCTTGTGAACCTCTTGACCTTCCACTGCTTTCCTTAGAGTCACGCCTTGATATAATGAGGGAATTTGCAACAAATCAAGATGTTTCTGATTGTGTATGGATGCCAAAAATTTGGATACATCAATTACTCCTTGATACAGGTGGTCTTCCACGTGCTTTGGAATACCTTTTTACAGAATTATTCGGGCAAAAGTTTACAAATATTAAGGAATTTTTTGAAAATCTCGAAAAAAGGATCACAATCCCATCAACAATCTATGCCAATGTCACAAACGATATTAATAAGGCATATAAAATCAAAGCTTATGCTAGAAACCATAAAATTCTAATAAACGAGCTTATTTACAGAAATATTATGGTAATCGAATCAGATATGTCTGATGAGTTACAAGATGGTAACTCTACTGAAAAATTAGAACATTTGGAGCGTGATAGGCACTTGATACTAAGGAAATTGGAAGGAAAAGATAAAGTTCTAATTGATATACCATACTTCTTTATGTATCTTTATGCTGATGTCCTTGGAATTTTTACAGAAAATCTAAATAAAGCATTTTTACCTGATTCAGATTGGTCATGGAATAATTGGAAAATATTTATTGCAGATTTTATAGCATCACACATCACTATGATTGATGTGCTGAAAAAAGAAAAATTATTAAAACTTGGAGATTTCTTTCGTAGTGCACAGGGTAGTGATATTACACTGGGCCTGTTGATCAATTTTGAATCTGTTGAAATCTATGAATTAATACATCAATTTCCATGCCTAAATCTTTCTGCAAAAGCGGGAAAAACTGCTATGTTAAAGCCAGGTTACATTATGATCAATGGTTATTCAGCATCATTTGCAGATGTTTTCTTTTTAGTAGATAACCCTGAACCTATTCTTATTGCTATTCAATGCAGAAAGAGAAAAAAATCTCTTGATTTGAAAATAATTGAAGATGAACATAAGAAAAATTTGAATATTTCTGAAAAAATAAAAGAAAAGGCTGAAAAAATCAGAGAAGATGCTGAAGTAAAAGGCAGAGAGATGAAAGAAAAATTGCGAAATGAGGCAGAGCAATATACACAACTTGCAGATTTTTTGAGCAAATATCGTATTATCACAATTTTTATTACAACTCAGCGTTTCAGTGAAAAATTGGAAGACCTTCCTGATGATTGTATTTTGATTCATCAAGAAAACTTTGACATTTTTTTCGGGCCTGTATTTTCCTCTCGTATAAAGCTTGTAATGACTAGAGATTCAAATCCAAATCTAAGTACTGCAAGTGAATTGATGTCAAGATATAAAGCAATTAGTCAAAATATAGGGGAAAGAATTGAAAAAACTAGAAAGAGAAGGATTTTTAGGTCACATAAAGAGTTTTGTCAAGAATTTCCAGATTTGGCTGAAGATGATGAGATCCGAAATAATTTTGTTTACTACCCATACCCTCCACATATAGAACCCTTTGAACATTCAAACAAGAGAACACGTTTAAAATAAAATCTTTTTCACTTTTTTTTCTACCACGTTGGATTTCATCATTGCTAATATTTTATGAATAATGTCATTCTTTATCACATTACACAATGCACATATATTCACATGTATACATAAAAAGTGACTTGTAGTTTTATTTTATTAATAAAGTATCACATGCATTATATAAAACACATTACAGTATAACAGCATAATTATGTAGCATTTCAAATAACTGATATAACAAGTTAAATGCATTTATTTATTTTTTTTGCATAATACACCGTAAAATTAAAAATAAAGCAACAATGGACGAAATCTTTATCAATAAAATAAGAGAAAAAAAAATTGGTATTAGATAAGCGAAATGAAACAAACTTCTTCAGAAAAGGAACTATTCATTTCCTCATCCACTAATGATTTCCTGCAACCAAAATGAAGTTAGATGAACTATTGTTAGGAGAATTAGTTAGTAACATTATCATTTCGTGACTACCCAAGAAATCCTGTCAGTACACAAATAAAAATTATGTGACAGCATGAAAAAAATTCACGCACTTTTGCCAAGAAAAATTTTTTATTAATACATGCGAAAAATAAATACAAATGTTCAGGACTCTGCTCGTGATACATGACATCTATGCTATGGCTAATCCTACAGTCTAACTAACCACCTGACATTTATGTGACTTGGAAATTCGCTCTCCTTCTTTATGAAATGTCTGTAAAATACATGATTATTAATTATAAGAAATTAGCCGTTAGCCATTAAGGTGCTTCGTAGGCACTTTGCAAGATTGCAAGAAATAGGAATTTGCGAAATAATAAATTCTTACATATTATATCTATTTAGCAAGTTAGAGTATTTGAGCTGTTCCTCCTCGAAAAGCTTTCTCTTCTTTTTTGTGTCCTCCTGACTTGCCATACCAAAGTCAATCAGATAGATGTCACCATTATCATTAATTAAGATGTTTTCCTTCCGAATGTCATTGTGGAGGATGCCATACTTATGGATCGCTTCTAATCCTTTAATAGCCCTTGTCTTTTGCTGTTTCTTTATTTTTTGGTCGCTCAACGAAGTGCTAACAATAGTCATGCTGATAACGAAGCTCATACTTCCTTCATAATATCCATAACAGACCAACTTGAAGATATACTTGCCTTGAATATTAGCAAGGTCTTTATAAATCTCAACTTCTTTTTGCATTTCTTCCAGGACATACGCAGAGCTTTTGATAAATCTATGCTTTTCAAAGCAATCGTATCACTACGAAACTTGCAAAGGAGTGTTTTACTACTTCACCCTTCACCTAGTATGCCCTTAAACTTAAAGTCTGTGAAGCTAAACTTTTGCTGATCTACAGGGGGTTGTTGGAAGTTCTAAAGGCAGAAGACGATTGTTGATTTGCAAAAGTACTAGAAGTTGATTGTTGATCTATTAAAAAGCTGGAAGTCGATTTCAAATGTGACCAAAGATTATGTGAATTATTGTCTTCATAAGCTGGCACTACTACTTGAGGTTTAGGAAACTTGGGTTCCCTTTCACCTGTCAAGTTAGATATGCATATGCCTTAAGAACTGGTAGAGATTCAGATTGTAGTGGAAGGGTTTTTGATAGTGCTTCGACCTGAATGAAAACCGTCATCCGGATTACACAAAAAAAAAATCCGGATTATATCTGGATTGACCCAGATTTTGAATCTGGATCAGATAATCTGGATAGAAACTGGAAACCGGATTGGATTTACAAATGATCAGCAATAATTCTGGCCAGAATTCATAACGCCGGCCAGAATTACAAATTGTGTAACATTAAATTTCATGCCAGCCGATAAAAAATTTTTTGCCCGGTGGCTAAACTATTTTTCCGATGTCATGTGATGCTAATTTCGGCCAGAATTACCAATTTGGCCAAAATTATCCAAGACCACGAAATTTACATAATTCCAATTTCATTAAATACTTTTCTTTAAAATATTTTCATATTATTTCAGCATTGTCTCAGACTATTGTTTAACATTTCTTTGTAAATTATCTAATTATGAAATTTTAAACAAGATATTTTTATATACAGCTAAAGATTACTATAAATAGATGTGTTGGGTTTGTAAGGCAATTTTTTAAGGATTTGTTTCTTCTTTCAAAAATTAAAGAATCATTTGAATCAAATTATATAACACTAGTTTTAATTTTTTAAAAAAGTTGTTATAATTATATAAATTTATAATATTGAACAATTTTTCATTTAAAACAATAATTATTATTTTGTTGTAACAAAAATAATATAAAGTTTTTTTTCTTTTGAACGTTTGAATGTGAAATCTAAAATTATTTGTTATTTGTTAATGTATAAATTTAAATAAACAAATCTGATACAAACTTCAATAAATAAATTATAATTGAAAAATCTTCTTAAACTTACTGTATTAAAAAGTTTAATATAACAAATATAAATTTAATAAATTTTAATAAAAAAATTGGTATTAGGCACAAAAATAATTAGCCATAATATCATTTAGATATAGATCAGCAAAATTATTATTAATAAAAAAAAAAATAATAAAAATTTCATCCGGATTCCAGGTCAAACCGGATATTTTTCATCCGATTTATAATCTGAATGAAAACCGTGAAAATCTGGATATCCGATAAAAAAAAATCTGGATCAATCCAGATTGATCCAGATATGGGTCGAGGCACTAGTTTTTGAGATCCAAAGTTCTGCATGCTCATGACGTAGGAACCAGTGATTATCATAGGTGGTGAGTATGCTATATCTAAGCTCATTTCCTTCCATACAATTATAGATTTGCTAAATTACATCCTTGCCTTTACTCATCTGATAAAACTAAAGCTCTGAATGGGTCAGTCCGGTTCAGTTTTTTTGTAGTTTGGGTAGAACTGAAAACCGAAATGGAACCGAACCAGAACCGTCCGGTTCAGTTCAGTTCTATCCGAAATTAAGAAAAATGCGAAAAAATGAATACATGACCATCCAGTGATCGTACAAAGACGAGCCATAGCTCGTTGGAATCCTCTCATCGAGATGCGTCGAATGGTGGTAAAATCAAGTCTCTAGCATCGATAGATCACGAGATAGAATATAGTGAGTTTTCTTAAAAAATTTGTATTAGAAAATGATCCATTGATGCTATAGACATGAATTTACCACCATTCGACGCATCTCAATGAGACAAATCTAATGAGCTATAATTTGTCTTTTTACAATCACTGGATGGTCATGTATTTGTTTTTTCGCATTTTTTCTTAATTTCGGATAGAACCGAACCGAACTGGACGGTTCCAAGTCTAAAACCGAACTGAAAACTGAACCAAATTTTTTGCCGGTTCCAGATCAGTTCCCGGTTCAAACTGGAACTGTTCGGAGCTTTATGCATTACAGATAGTGCTCTACATGAGCCGGCTCGAGCCGAGCTACAGTCTGGCTTGGCTCGGCTTGTAGATCTGCGCCAAGCCAAGCCTGAAATGAGCCGAGCCACAAAAAATCTTGGCTCAGCTCAATTTGAGCCAAGCTGAGCCATGAAAATCCTGGCTTGAACCAAGCTGGGCTCGAACTGACTCGAGCTGGCTGAGCTTTATCATAAAAACGTTTTCGCAACGTTTTTACTTTAAATTATTAAAAAAAATGTTGCGAAATGTTTTTTACTTTTATATTTATATAAAATGCCGAAACTATTTGTTTCAGCATTGTTCTTTTGATTTTACATGTAAAAATGCCAAAACTGATAGTTTTGGCATTTTTTTTGATTTTACATGTAAAAGCGCCAGAATAATTGATTCCGGCATATTTCCTTTTGGTTTTACATGTAAAAACGCCGAAACTGATATTTTTCTTTTGATTTTACATGTAAAAATGCCGAAACTGATAGTTTCAGCGTTTTTTTTGATTTTACATGTAAAAGCACCAGAATAATTGGTTCTGGCGTATTTCCTTTTGGTTTTACATGTAAAAATGCCGAAACTAATAGTTTCAGCATTTTTCTTTTGATTTTACATGTAAAAATGCTGAAACTGATAGTTTCAGCATTTTTTTTGATTTTACATGTAAAAGCGCCAGAATAATTAGTTCCGGTATTTTTCTTTTTAGTTTTACATGTAAAAACACTGAAACAGATAGTTTCGGCATTTTTTTCGATTATACATGTAAAAACGCCAGAATAATTAGTTCTGGCATTTTTCTTTTTGATTTTACATGTAAAAACGCCAAAACTTAGTTTCAGCGTTTTTTTTCAATTTTACATGTAAAAATGCCAGAATCATTAGGTGGCACAAACTGGTAATTATGGTTTACATATCCCGGCCGGGTCTGTAAATCGTGATACCAAAATTTTTTTTTTTTTTTTATAATTGACCAATAATAATTGCGCTTAATATCACGTGATAAATTTCATTTATTAAATTGTAGCACAGCATATAAATCACATGTATATATCTTTAATTGACTAAATAGCATACAAGCATACATTCAAAACGAAAAAAAAAATCTGCTTTAAACTACTTTACGCTTTCCTTTATCTTTACCACCCTGTTTCCATCTCAGACGTTTCTTTGAAATGCTAGAATTGCCACTACATTCACTGCAACATGGTTGTTCACCTTTTGCTACTCTCGTAACGTCCAAACTTCCACATTTAATGCAAACGTCTGGATAAATCCCAGCTGAATAGTACGGCTTCTCAACTTGCGATGCACAGGACCACGAGTCATTAACAAAGACTCTTGAGAATATTTCACGAATAGAATCCTCTTTTTTTTCATACTCTTCCTCCTCATTATTATCGGAGTCCTCCTTCTCATTATCTGAGTCTTTAGGTTCGATCGTCCCATCTGAGTCTTCATCTTGCTCATTTATGTTAGAACTATCCACCTCATCTATAATTTCGTAATCATCAACTTCATTTTCTATGTCATCATCTGGTCATTTTTGTAGAATAGCTGTTGCTAAATCGCATGTGTTATGAAACGGCATACCGCAAGTGTAGAAGATTGTATCCAAGAATCCTCTCAGTATTGTCCTGTCTTTTTCAGTAATCTTCTTTGCACTGAATAACAGATGCGGCTTCTCACACTCAACACAATTTACAGTGATACCAACGTTCTTCGCACGTGTAGCAGAAGGACAAAATGGCATAGTGTGTTTTGTTTTTATAATTTTCATTCTGCCCTTCATTTTTGTTTTAGCGTCCTTAATATAAGTGAAGGTCTATGATCTTCAGTTGTTTGCTTGCCATACAACTCTTCAAATGATTTGTAATGCATGTCCTCTCCAGGTACTGGGTCTGGAAGACGATATAATTGTTCAAAATCTTCTGGCGAGCAACGAGGTGAACGACAAATGGTACAAGATGGCTCACCGCATTTCTTTATCGTAAATGAATAGTGTTTTGCCGTACAACAGTGTTCTAAAAATTCTTGCAGAAGTGGCTTTAATAGAGGTAAAAAAAGTTAATTGACGTTTTTTTTGGATTCAATTACTTTCTATATTTACCCTCTGTTTTATATGTTCTGCAGTACAGTCTTCATTAGTAACACTACCATCTACAAGCTGAATTGTTTCCCAAAATCTTTCCATTTCTGTTTCTGATGCTGCAGTAAATGTTTCGAAAGGTTCATCTTTAAGTGACTGACGGCTGAAGACATTATGAATCAAATTAATTGGAGCTTGAAGACTTGCAATTAAATCTCCTTTCAAGGTAGGATTTTCTTCAGCAATTTTGCGGATTTCGTTCATTGTACCGCATTTGCTCATTAATTTTTCTGATTCATCATTCATTTCAGTTCGCATCAAACCAACACTTTGCAATCCTAGGTTTAGAATTGACATAATACGCTCAACAGGATTCTTTTAGGAATGTTGCGGCGGAGTTCAGACAGCAACAAAATAATCAAGATCTAATGCAATAAAAAGACAAATATATGAGAGTTGAACACGTGCATATGTGCAATGGTGATCAGGTCCACTATCCGTGTAGAGGCACAATACAGGCTTGTTAATGAGCTCTTCTCCAAGAAGTATGTGATATAGTTCTGTTGCATGTCGAAGAGGCGAGGAAGGTTGAAAGATTGGATCCTTTAATCCAATGTGTACTTTTCCTGCATAAAAATCACCATTAATCGATTCAGGTATATTACATATCATTGCTACACTCGGTATGATTCCTGTTTTAGTGAAATCATGGTCAGCGACCACAAATGTAGTATCTTTACTAACTACAACTTTCTTTCCCCTATCAATAGCAGCAACAGGGAATCCTGGTTCACCAACTTTACAGCGATGCTTATCATCTAAAAAGACAAGATTTGTGATTTCACGAAATCTAACAGCAAATTCTTTCTCATAGCAAAATAATGCTGATGCATAATGTGTATCCATATGATAGGCTCGTAACTGTCATGTTTGAACCATGAATTTCAAAGGTAAGCGACCAGTGAATTGCAAACTACTAAGCCGTGTTGGATTTTTAGGCCAAAATTGTAATCGTAACCATTGTGTACTAGGAATTGGTATTCCAGGTGGGCACTC